TAAAGATTTCACCTGTTTGTACTGTTTGAGATGAGTGCATAGAGTTGTGTGATGTAGGTTCATTACACCCTTTTATCACCAGCTGATATAAGTTACTCCTGTGTGTAGGGGGGGGGAGGGTTGTCATGTTTAAGAAGAGAGCAGATAGCTGTGTGATGTGGGTTCACACACCCTTTTACCACCAGCGATATATGTTTACCCCTGTGTTGTAGGGGGGGGGGGTGTCATATTTGCGAAGAGTGCAGAAGGCTGTGTGATGTGGGTTTACGACACCCTTTTACCATCAGCTGATACATGATTACTCCTGTGTGTAGGGGGGGGGGAGGTTGTCATATTTGAGAAGAGAGCTGTGTGATGTGGGTCACGACACCTTTTAACCACCAGCTGATATTTAATAACCCCTGTCTGTAGGGGGGGGATTGTCATGTTTGAAAAAAGTGCAGAGCTGCGTGATGTGGGTTCACGACACCCTTTACCACCAGCTGATATAAGATTGCTCCTGTTTGTAGGGAGAGGGGGAGGGGGGGGGGGGGTTTCATTTCTGAGAAGAGTGCAGAAGGCTGCGTGATGTGGGTTCACGACACCTTTTACCACCAGCTGATATATGATTACATTTGTGTGTAAGGGGGAGGGGGTGGGTGGAGGGTTGTCACGTTGAAAAGGGTGCAGAGAGGTGTGTGATGTGGGTGGACGTACACCCTATTACCATCAGCTAATATATGATTACACCCGCATGTGTGTAGGGGGGGGGGTTGTCACATTTGAGAGGAGTGCAGAGAGCTGTGTGATGTGGTCACCACACCCTTTTACCACCAGCTGATATAAGATTACTCCTGTGTGTAGGGGGGGGGGGGGAGGTTGTCATGTTTGAGAAGAGAGCAGAAGGCTGTGTGATGTGGGTTCACCACACCCTTTTACCACCAGCTGATACATGATTACTCCTGTGTGTAGGGGGGGGGGAGGGTTGTCATATTTGAGAAGAGAGCTGTGTGATGTGGGTTCACGACACCTTTTTACCACCAGCTGATTTATGATAACCCCTCTGTGTAGGGGGGGGGGGGGGTTGTCATGTTTGAAAAAAGTGCAGAGCTGCTTGATATGGATTCACGACACCCTTTTTCCACCAGCTGATATAAGATTACTCCTGTTTGTAGGGAAGAGGGGGAGGGGAGGGTGTCATTTCTGAGAAGAGTGCAGAAGGCTGCGTGATGTGGGTTCACGACACCCTTTACCACCACCTGAAATATGATTACATTTGTGTGTAAGGGGGAGGGGGTGGGTGGAGGGTTGTCACATTGAAAAGGGTGCAGAGAGCTGTGTGATGTGGGTTCACCACACCCTTTACCGCCAGCTGATATATGTTTACCCCTGTGTGTAGGGGAGGGGGGGGGGAGGTTGTCACATTTTAAAATAAGTGCAGAGAGCTGTGTGATGTGGGTTCACCACACCCTTTAACCACCAGCTGATACATGTTTATTCCTGTGTGTAGGAGGGGGGAGGGTTGTCATATTTGAGAAGAGAGCAGAGAGCTGTGTGATGTGCGTTCACCACACCCTTTTACCACCAGCTGATAAATGTTTACACCTGTGGGTTCACGACACCCTTTAACCACCAGCTGATACATGATTATTCCTGTGTGTAGGGGGGGGGGGGAGGTTGTCATATTGAGAAGAGAGCTGTGTGATGTGGGTTCACGACACCCTTTACCACCAGCTGATAAATGTTTACCACCTGTGTGTAGGGGGGGGGGAGGGTGTCATATTTGCGAAGAGTTCAGAAGGCTGTGTGATGGGTTCACGACACCCTTTTACCACCAGCTGATATTAGATTCACCTGTGTGAACGGTGGGAGGGTTGTCACATTTGAGATGAGTGCATAGAGCTGTGTGATGTGGGTTCACCACACCTTTTACCACCAGCTGATATAAGATTACTCCTGTGTGTAGGGGGGGGGGGGAAGGATTGTCATGTTTGAGAAGAGTGCAGAGCTATGTGA